ATTGCAAGAATGAGCGGAGAAAATCTGCCCCCTCTTCTCCTGTACCTACTTGAGTACTTGGCAGGGTGCTGATCCAGACAGGAAGTTTTCCAAGGCTAAACAAAAGGATTAGCTTCAGTCCACCATTCCCATTCCAGGCCCAGTACTGCAGAGAATATCCCTAAATGCTCCTGCCTGAAAGGAGCCCCTCTGTACTGAGAAGGAATTGAGAACTGATAAGTGTCCAGAGAGAGACACAATAAAAACAGCCACGAGGTCAAGGCAGCCGTTCACTTCTCCATGCTTGGCGCTGTGGGCTAGCTTAGTGGCTGTTGTGTCCAGCACATCTGAGACACAGCTGCAGGCTGGCTTGCACCACCAGTGAGTCCCATCTGTCCTGAGGATGTTTCCCTCTTCTGCTGCATTCTGATTTCTTCCCTTCCACTGTTTTTCCCTTCAGCCCTTCTGGATCTGTCTGGTGTCCACCAGGTCAAGGGCACATGGAGGGGATCCACCACTTTACCATGTACCTACGTGCCTTCAGAAGGTTTCACAGAGCAAGCACTCAGTTGGAGTGTGGAGCGGGACTCTAGCACCTCTACCATCTTTCGGAGGGATGATTCTGGTGACCACATCTTCCTGTCTAGCTTCCGAGATCGAGTTAGCATCCCAAAGCACAGCCCAGGGAATGTCTCACTCATAATTGAGAAGCTTGAAATGCCTGACAGCGGACACTACACTTGTAAAGTCATCTGGAGGTCTACAAATAACAGCTTGATAACAAGGGAGGTTACCACTACAGTTAAAGTTGTCAAAGGTAAATCCCACGACAAACCCCTGCTCTTGTGGAGTCAGTTATTCCGAGAGCCGGTAGGAGAAGCAGTGTTGGTGGGAATAGTCTTTCACACCAAACTGTCTTCCCCATCCAGGCTGGGGGTTGAGGCATCCGCCTTCTTTGATGTGTTAGTTAGCACTTCTCCACTCATGGAGGTGTAGAAATGGACTGGGGAAGGGACTCAGTTCGTGTACAGCCCAATCTGGATCAACTGATGAGCCACTTGAACCCGTGGTGCTTGAAGTAACATCCAAGTCTAGTTTGGGTTCCCTGCAGATAGCCAGCCACTGTCTTTCTGGTTCTTGTAGCAAGTGGGTGATGTATGAGCCAAGTTCGCCTTTTCCCCTTCCCAAGTGTCCTTGGTGTGTGCTAGAAATAACTGTCTTTCTGCAAGGGGGACTATCCCCCAACAGAGCAGGACTTTGTGATAGGGCTGCAGGAACAGTGGCACAGCTAGTGTAACCTGTTTTAAGATACAGATGACCTGAGCTCAGCCTACGCAGGGAGGTGATGTGAGAACCACTTCATCCTGAGAAGGCACCTGATGGCCAGAGCGAGAACTGCCGTGGTGGAGGGACCATCCCCACCACAGCCAGGGCAGCGTGACCTGGGCCTCTCTGCTTTGTCTTCCAGTGGCAGCCACCAAGCCCATCATCAGGGTTGGCGAGCTGGG